ACTCTTACATCAAAAAAATCTCCACTGTTAAGTGTGCAGCTGTGCAGTGACTTACCTAGAGAGACAGCTTATTTCTGGCCTCAAAGCCCTTCACTGATAGCATAAACAGATCAAAATTCCTCCTTCAACTTCAGGGTACTGTGTCTAGCTGTTTAATATCAAAGGGGTGACACAACTGGGAACACAAGAGCTCCTACTAGACCACTTCCAATTTTCTGCTGGCTGGTAGCACTACACAAATATATTTAGACTACTCTTTCCTACTGGGGAAACTATGGTAAACAAAGCAAGTGCAGTCAGTTGTATTTTTGCAATCATGCTATGAAAATTTTGTTTAGACAGCTGATCTGTGGATGAGCTGCAGAAGCCCCAGCTACACAAACAGAAGAGTGAACACATTTCAAAGCAGTAGCTTACTCATTATCTTTGATTTGAATTTCTCTACATCCCATACAGAGTCAAGAAGCTGAGACATTCAGTTCCTCAGAAGCTTTATTTTCATTCAAGCTACAGAAATAAAGTAGTACCTTCCAATTTCTCATTATACTTTCTGCATATTTGCATGGCTCAGGGTGAGATGCACTAGGATAACTACCCTGTACATATGGAGGAAGATAAGGCTCAAAAACTAGCTTTATTTCAAAGAATGCCAAACCTTACCTATCAGGTTGGCTCCAATTCCTCAGTAACATTGTTTAATAGGCACAACATAAGGAAAGATTGATCTAAACTACCTATTGTAAGCAAAATCCACAAATTCATTACAGAAAGTCATCCAAAGAAACCTTTTAGAAATAACATAACAGTTGTTTTCTACTTTGAAAAAAATAGAAAAAATAGATGAGTCATTTTTGCTTTATATATGATATATTCACACACATACTTTCAAGTATAATTTTCAGTATTATCATACTTACACAACTAGACATAAAAAAGTGAAAATCCCATAAGCAGATCATTATGCCAAAGAAGTCACACACAGTCCTTATCTGGATTTAGCAACACCTGGATTTTTCCCTGTCATCATAGTGACCAAAAAAGCAGTGACTAGACTCAGTGTAATTTTTCCCTTTATTAAACATTTTTAATAAGGCTTGAAAAGTATCAGGATTTAGAAAATGGGGAGGAGAACAGGCAGTCATAAACCCCCACAAATTCACAGCTAAGCTTGTCACACGCTCAGTACTAGCAGGCAATTAAAAAATCTGAGTTATGTTCAGTTAGCAGGTAAACTGTTAACAACAGACCGACTTCAGCTAGGATGTTTTTACATTTAAGGCATCACACAAAATAACAAGTTAATGCTAGGAAGCATAACAATCATCATGTGCTCAGCCACAACACACATTTAGCTCTGGACAGCAGAACCTGCTTTATTTCAAAACAGCAAGGCTAGCAGGACATCCCACAATCTTTCGGGGAAGTGCCAGGCAGCCACCAGGAAAGAGAAGTGACTTTTTTGTAACAGGGGAATGAATCTAAGTGCTTAAAGGCTTTGCTGCAGTGGCAGAGCTGGACACCTGAAAACAAATTCTGGTGGAATAAAACACTTTGAGCTAAAAGGCAGAACATCCGTTCAAGCAGTTACAATTACAAATGTCCTGCAAAGAGATGAAACAAAAAAAAATCTGCAAGACTTTAACAGCTTCTGGAGCTCTGAATAAAGGTGAGGTCCAGCAGGTGCATTTGAGAGCCATGACAGGGACTGGTTCCACACTGCTTGCTCTGCTCTCCTGCTCTCCAAGTCTAGTTTGGGTAGACAGGTATGAAATGTTTAAGTGAAATAGGCATAAACTATTTCCTTACTGGTAATTTATTTTCACTTGTCTGTTTCTTACCCAATATGAAAAGGCACAAATTCTGCATAAAAAAATTACTGTAAGATCTAACTAAAACCTACTCACAAAAAAAATTTTGCAGAAACCACTGACTGTTCCTAAAGAGGGTAAAGTCATCTAGAAGTTAAGTGCTAGGCATTCTGAAAGCTCTATGTGTTTAACTATCAAGGTTTTAAGTATTAAGCTCAACTATTTGGTTTAGTACTTCAGTGCAGAAAGTTCTTAAAACCTAGTTTTAAAACCATCAAACCCAGACTTTTTGGAAATGAGGGAGGTCACATACATCAAATAGAAGATCCATGCCACTTCACTAGGCTGAAATGCAATGCTTTTTTGCTGTGAGCAAGGGTCCCAGAATCTTATTTTTGCAAGCATTTCTGTAAGAAAGGATTCCATTAGGTGGGATGGAAGTTTTGAGCTCAGTCCATGCTTTGCCAAAAGCTTCTATTCCGAGTTCTCAGAATCTGGGTAACATCAAAAATTAAAACTTCCTCAGCTAGAGACAGCCTGAAACACAAAACAGTGACAGTGCAGCAGGACAAACAGAAAATGACAACAAAAAGCATTGCACAGCCTGAGACTTACAGCACATCCAGAAGTTGTTAATTCACAAATATTCCCTATCCATTACCTCTTTTTTCCTGGCTGTATTTTGGCACGTTCTTATACCTCTATGAACACAGCAAGCTTCTGCTTTCTTTCCTTGCTCTGCTGGTTCTCTAGCATCTAAAACCACTTCTGAATAGATGCTTCAGATATTCTTTAGACTTCTCAGGCTTACTAAAATCACACACAGATAGTGGCTATCCATTTAGCTGGAAGCTAAATGACACTCAATTTGAACCACAACTAGATACTTATATTTAAATGTTTACTGTTTTTTATCTCTTATGAGGCTGTGGCTGTTTTATTAATATGCAGAATGGAGAGCTCTCAGCTTTCTCCCATAGCATAAGAATGCAAACTACACCAGTATAATCAGAAGAGCATTAGTATGCAGCATTAAGTGACTTTCAAGTTGGAGAAAGCTAGGTTTATGGTCCTTTGCCATGAATTAAAGGCATAATTACATATTTGATAAAGCAAGTATGTAATTTAATTTTCACTCAAGTCTTCTAGAAACTTAGCAATTGTTACTTGAGCAGTGAAGAGCCTCATATCAACCTATGTTTTTATATTACAGTGCAAGTCAGTTGGTCACTTTAATAGGCTCAGACTCAAAAACCTGAGACTATACCAAAACAACCTAAAAATCACTTTTACAGATGAACAAAATGCTGCTACCCCGAACAATATTCCAGTCAGTCTTGTAGTGAAATTAAACTAAACTAACACCTTAAAATTCTTAAAACTGCACTCACTTTAATCTCAATGCTCTTTACAGAAGAGCAGCACTACCTAGGTTTCTGAATTATAGTAATTTTAGTGAGCCTTGCCCCAGTGCTCCCAAATTCCATAGATGCAGACAACCTCATGTTGCCACTCAGGAAGCCAATTAATTTTGCCTTCCCATAATTACAAGCATTACTGGCTTATCCAGAAATATCAAAGCCTTTATAAATACTACTCAGCTTGAGGCTGATGATCTAGAACAAACAATTTAGAGAAATTTAGTTCAAAAAGCTTAACTGAATTGCAAAGATTATGAGCTGAAGCAGCAAACTGGAAATCAGGCAAGAACTGCTATATTCTACTATGAATGGTCCTATTAAACAAACCCCACTTTCTTTGAAAACCTGCAGTCAGGGCAGGCAACCAGTTATACCAGAATCCACAGAAACCAGCACACAACAAACCGATAGTTCTCTCCACGTCCAGCATCTATCCTGGTTAATAACCAATACTGAAGGCATAGTATGATTAGATATAGATGCCTACTGTTTTTTCTATTAGACATAATAAAGATCCAGAAGTTTATGCAATACCTTTTTTGGTATAGTCTGATATGCTATTTAAGACATACATTTCTTATAAAATGTGCAAGAAAGTGTTAAATTCTGTCTTAGCACACAAACACTTCAGTGACTTCATCAAGCAGATTTAAAAGCCAGATTCAACTGAAGCTTCACTGTGACAGTGATTCAAGTGTCACTAAAGTATTACTAAGTGATAACTTGCTTTAAGGAGTTATCACAAAGATCAGAACTCCAATAAGCATTTGTCTTTAACTGAAGCAAGGCTATATAGCCCTGGCAAGATCTTAAAGTACATCACACACTAAAAAATAAGAAATTGGCAATAATGCATTGATTAGCTGCATGCTGCACACTTTAAAGAGTGGAAAGAAAAAGCCTCTCACATTGTGCTCAAATTAAGAACTCAATGGGCCTTCAAAATTTTCCCCCAATCCTACAGTCCAAGCAAACTTTGAGCTCCTACAGCAACTTTCAAAGCCAATGAAAATTTCATTTCACTGTAAGACACGTAGTAGCAGACTAGCTAGATCCTCACATACTTTTATTTTGTAGCCATGTCTCTACTGCGCTTTACTTGTACTTCATATAGGAATTAAAAGTAGAATCACTCAAGGGCTTTTAGAGTAGTTCCTACCTGAAACTAGACATCTTTCTATGTATCCTTAAATTTCTTGGTTGGCATAAACCAAAGTAAAGAGAAACAATGCAAACCATGATCAATTAGGCCAACCACTAAGAAAAAAACAGTAGCCACATCAATGTAATTTCACTTTGATTGAGGGTGCTATCTAGTAGATTAAGTTTCAGACTATAGGCTCCAAACTTGATCCTTCTTGGAAGACACTACATTAGAAGCCACAGCGGAGACTGCCTTGTCACAAGAGGTACAAATACTAACTGTATAGATGGAGAAATAAAAGGACAAATCTAGGTGTCTAAAAGACAATTCACTGTACACATTTTATTTACAGTTTTGTACACTGTCTTAATATGAATGGGACCGCTTTTCTACTTGAGCCATTTTAACCAAAGCAAAATAACCTAAGTAATACAAAGTGTTAAAATACAGCATAAGATACAAAAACAGACATACTATTTCTAGTAAGGAATGTAAATTATGGTGTTACATTAAAAAATCCACAGTTATGTTTAGGAATTCACACAAACAGATCACTGACTTGACTGAAATGCGTAAATTTTTAGCAAAGCTTTGATATTACAAAAAACCAAAAAAATTTCCAAAGAATGCACAAAATTTATGTTTATTCCACCTTTGTCATATTCCCAGATTCTTCACCAAATGTTACATGAGCAAAAACAACTGAAATCAAAATATCACTAATGTTATGAAATAGGGAAAACAAATAAATTAATCTAGCAGCCATCAGCATAGGTTACAGCAAAGATGATGCTGTATAAAAAAATTGCTAGAAAACTGTATGCACCATACTCTTTTCCAAACCAGCAAAATGTTACTGTATACAATGCAAATGTAAAACAGAGTAATTTCCTGCAGGTAAAGAAATACAACTTCTTTTCTGAATACTGTGGATAAACAATTTTTTTCGTAATAGTAATTACAGAGTGGGCCAGGAAAACATTGATGGATTCAGGGAGTGAAGTGTACTAGAATTCTGATTGGTAATGGTTACTTCAGCCAAAATAGAAAAAAATTGAACAAAGAGGTACAAGACAAAGGCAAATGAGACTTCTCACAAATCTTAGCAACACTTAGATGGAAATAAAATTCAAATGTAGTCCACTCTGCTTTTGAAGAGGCTTTGGTTCAGCTCCCAAATCTCGATTGCTTGACGCAGTCTCCTATGAAAGAATACTCAGAAGGTGTCTTCTTAAACAACAAACCTATTTTTAGTGGTGGAGCCGCTCTTAGTAGCTGTGTCTGCATGGGACTGATAACCAATCACTATCTTTGGAGGAAGTCCTAATCTTTCCTTGTATACTCTCCTGGAGAAAAGAAATAGAACAGTTTAAGCAAAGTGCTTGGGAAGGAATTAGTAACAGAACACTTGCTTTTTTAAAGATCTGCTAACACCTTCATGAAAAATAGTTGCCTATTTAGAAACCATTTCTCTGGTATAAAGAACTCCAAACAGGCTTGTTCTAACTTATTGCATCTAAAATCAGCTTAAAGTTCTGTATGAACAATTACTTGCCATATAAAATAGGACAAGCTCTTTCAAAAAAATATTTAATAGGCCAACATAGATGTAGAACACAGATTCTACCATGTTAATGAGAATATCATTAATATCAGCAAGCTATATTATCACATGTAAGAACAAAACAGCTATAAAATAGCCATGGTCCACAATTCCAGTTCTACTGAGAAGATAAAAACTGACTTCCAGGGAATTGATGTTTTATTTTGTTCAGGTGATTTCATCACCACACACCTCAGCTGTACAGACTTGCTGTCTTTTCTTGAGCTAGTGATACAAAGCAGACCCCCATCCCTCCAATTGCTTATGGCATTGGTGACAGGCAGCTACCCAACACAAGCTTTAAGAAAAATCTGCTCAGATCTTAGGCATTAAGAAGCAGCAGTGCCCATCTTACACAAACACACTGTGCACCTTAGCTTAGCATAGAGTGAGATGCTACCTGCTAACGGCACTAGACTGCAAACTGACTATAAACTGCAGAACAAGCCTGTTCAGCACAGATTGCTCACCCCAGTTTAACTGTTAAATACAAACCTGATGCATTGTCTTTGGAGTTATGGCAAGGTGACAGCAGGGAGTCAACATAACTTACATTAGTCACTGTCATTTTGCAAAATCTTATTTTTACAGTTCTGATGGGAGTCATTATCTCCTTAGTTAACAGTTAATACCATTCTAAATATGCCCTCTGATGCCTACTATTTTGGTGTAAGGTTATTCACTCCTAGCAGATGTGTACCACTGCTCAGCTTATTGTTAAATACTTACCTTTGAGTCTGAACATGACTGTACATTAAAATTGTCAGTATGAGGCAGACCCCACTAGTTTCTTAAAGGTTCAAATGAGGAATGTGTCAAGAGAGCCTCACATAAACTGAAAAGTGTTGGCAAGCTACTATGCCTGACAGGCTAAGCTGGGAAGATAACCTACGCAAAGCAATGAAAATCTGTGGCCTACAATGACTGAATTTAACAGCAAGTAATTTTGAAATCAATACTACAGCATAAGGAATTCACTAGCTTTAGCAATACCTGCTAAATAGCAGAGCACAATGTGCACTTCCCATAGTACAGACAGATGATCTGAGATGACCAACTTCTGTTGCTTACTGGAATGAAGACTAGAACATGCTATTACATGTCAAATAATTAATGAAAATCAGCATTATTTTGTTTGATTTGTACTTACAGACAAGAATGTAAAAAAGCATCTGTAGAGTTTCATGGCACATCATATCACTGCCCAGTTTTTTTTCAAGTCAAAGGCTATTCTTGTGAGCTTACTTAAGATCCACAGCACCTTTCCTCTTATTTCTAAGCATTGCTTTGCTGAGAAAAAAAATTTACCAATGCTCTACTGTTACTGGATGCCCAGTCAATTTACTAAGTACTGCAACACAATCTCTCTACCACCTACAAGCATTAACTACGTGCCTTATTGTAAAATGAAAAAATTCTGCCAGGATTTGCTTGTAATCTTTTGTTATTTGTGAACAACAGCAAAGGTAGCATAGCAGTACAAAGAAGTTACTAACATAAGCCCCGTATAACAAAGTACAAAATAACACAAGTAATTTAGCACTGAGTTACTTATGTGGGATATATGTGTAGCTCTGCACAGGCTACATTTGACTGAAGTGCATTCTCTATTAAGTTAGCTGGCTTTAAATGCATTGTAACTCATATATTCAAGCCATCAATCACATTACTTACCCTATATGCGTAACAGCATCCCTGTTTTCACATTCAGTTGTCCATATTGCTATTTTATCACCCTTAGTTCTAACATTAACAACAGCACCACATACATCATCACTGTAGTCATCAAACGACTCCCCAATAAGGCACAGCAGCTACAAAACAAAGATTAACCATTAAAAGTAGAAGCTCCAAGTCAGAATCCTGTTCCATAGACAAGTTACACAAAAGGACCAAGGAATATTATGTTTTACTGCTTATAGGTACTTGCAATGCAGCAATCATTCTGTTTATTGCAGTATTTCCTTTACATTCATTTGTAACATTTAGAACTTCAACTCAATTGCAGTAAGGTAACTTCCTCCTATTTTTAGTTTTCCATCTCTCCTCCTGTCCCAGCAGCAGGAAGTTCTGACTAAGCTGATCATTTACATAGTGTTGCCTCCCACCCTATTCTCCCAATCCAAACTCAGGTAGTAATTAAAATAGATTCCTTTTTCTAAAGTACACTTAACACAGGCAGATAAATCTGAATTTTTACTTGTTTACATTAATTATCTAGGAGGAATCTGTGAAGAACTATTTGAACAATATATCAGCTATGTCAGGTCCAACTTCCCTCCTTAAGTACATCAATTCAGAGGCAAATCAGATGTCAACTTCAATAAAAAGTGGTATCTAGTGAAGTGTTATTTCCTGTCAACACTCTCAGGAAGCTTCAGGAGATCCCAGAGTCTTACATGGGAATCTGTCATCCTTAACAGTGTGTAACATAAGGGCAACAATACAAGTGTACAAGTAACACAAGATCCTTCCTCCACAGATTTCTAACTGAAGCTTGGAATTGGCAAAGGCAGTGTATTTCAGGAACATCAGATCAAGTTAGGTCAGATGCCTGTAAAATACTGTGAAAGTGAGATTTAAAATCTTAAATTTGCAATTTGTAAACTAAGCCATTTTCAGATATTCAAAACTGAGAATTTCTTGTGGTTAGGACAGATTAATCTAGTCCATGCTGAAATAAAAATCCTTCTGAATACCTAAGTATTAATCTCCAAATGGATGCTTGTTTACTTTATTTGCACAGTACATATTACTTTTCCAGAATCACTTGTAACATTTGGAAATTCAAGGCTTGCAACATTTTGCACAAAGCAGGTCTTCAGTTCCCATGAGAGCTGCAAAGGCTGACTTTGTCAAGGAAATACAAAAAGGACAAAGTGTGCTACTGAATAGATCAGGTGTAACTACACATACTTTAAGTGTCACACCCAATTAATTGTGGGATGCACACATCAAGTAATGAAAGCCATAAATTTAAGTTAAACCATACACAAATATTCAAAATACTGATAAACAGCCTTACTATACATACAAGCAAAGATGACTACCATGCTCAATAGATAGTGTAGTCCAGTATACCTGCTATGAATGCTACTCTAAAGGGGAAAAAAGTCTTCTCAAACCAAGTTTAGTTAACAGTAAAGATCATTATAATAAAAATTTGTTCCAAAGTGGAGTGATAAAGGAAGAGGTTTTGATTTTTATTAGAGAAAGTTGGTTACAAACAATCACTGGAATTAGAAGTGACAGGGTTGTTATAAAGTCCCAGTTACCTGGGTATTGGAGCTCTGCCACTGCTTGCTGTTAAACAGCAGAACCCTCTAGCCTTAAGTCTACACAGACTATCTAGATGTTTGCAATTCCTATGCAAGAGCTATTAAGAGACAGAAGGACTCATATAGGCATTTAGGTGGAGAAGCTAGAAGCACACAGCAAGACATTTATTTACATGTATAGTTATATTGCCTAGCAGTCCAATTCTTACAATCCTTTCTTCAAATCACTACTACAGTGACTAGAAAGATCCTAGTATCTCTGGCAGACATCCTTGCTTTGAACCTGAAGGTGACTTCTCCCTTTCAAAGGAGTGCAATACCTTCTTGCCTCTCACAAGCAGGGAAGATCAGAGATTTGATAAGATAGCTTTGCATTGCACCACCTACAATCCGTCCTCCTAAAAAACCAGATCACACTAGACTCTTCTAGGGTATTCTGAGTCAGTTCCTAGACAGTACAGTTGAATCCCTTTCTACAACACATTTACCACAACCCACATAATCTCTAGAATTATATTTACCATTAAAAAACCTATTCTGAAAAATATAACAGCAGTGGGAAAAAGTATTTTTATAGTATACAGGCAAGCTGCATTATTACTGCCTATCCCAGTGTTAAGATAAATATAGAAAGAAAAAATAGATCTGAAACTCCTTTGTTTCAGCAAGGCTAAAACCTGAAAACTATTCACTTGTAAATGTATTTGTAAAACACATTGCTATACTTTGGCAGTTAAATTTGGGAGTCCCATTCAAGACCAAGTATTGTTTTCCCAGTAGCTCCTTAAGTACTCTGTACATTCCAGCAACAAAAGGTTAATCTGTTCTGTAAAATTCTGTTGCTGCCCATTACAAGGATGTATTCAACAGAACACATCTAGATTGAGCATCACTACTGAAAAACCAATGTTTCAAATGCAGCCTGGTAATAACTTATAGGACATTAGAAGCCTAACACTTCTAAACAGAATACAACAGTTAAAATATTAAATACAATTGCAAGATTCTTCAGTAACAACTTGCAAGGCCACAGTGCTTACTGTCTCTAGCCAGAAGCGATCAAGGTCACTTCTTCTCTGCTGTTTGTTTAGTGTAATTAGCCATCGTCCTCCTCTCTTGTTTTTTTCATCTTCCCACATGGGTTCAATCCCATCCTGCAAAGAATGGCCAGATGTTAAATTGGACTTGATCTACATTTTTCCTAAAGAATAACCAAAAGGCCAGTGATGACCAAAATAGCAACTTAAGAAAAAAAGCACATAGTTTAATATACATACCTGTCCAGACATACTGTCTCGTACCAATATCAAAGGTCCAGAACAGCTTATGAAGTGCACTTTTTTAGAGAAATTTTTATTTGTACAGAAGAATCACAGCCCAAGCAAAAGTCTTGGATACACAACTTAACATAAAAAACTGTGGGAACAGGCTAAGTCAAACATCCACCTTACCCTGTATGAAACGAGATAAAATTAGCAGCTACATTCTGAAGTTCTTATTTTAAGTCTTGGACTCAGTGCAACATTGGCCAAGGGTTTCACTTATGCATAAATGTTACTTCACTGAAACAGACACCCTTGGCAGTCTATCTCAATGACTTCCTGCATACACAAGGTGAGAATAAGAGAGTTTTGATTGCCAGGGCCACAGAAATCAACACTATTTAATAGCAAGCTGCAGTCTGATTCATGCCTTACCAATTGCCCTGCACTGAATTAAATTCCTCTGGATGCACTGATCCAGCAAAGCAGCCAGATGCCACTCCCATATGCACCAGCTACGCTGCACTTCACAAAAGTCAGTCATTAAAAAAGCAGGTAACTGTCTAGACAGAAATTGGGTTAAGAAATGTCTATTAAGAGAGCTGCATAACAGAACTTTGGCTGAAAACTAATTAAGAGTTCAACGTGCAGGATGGAGTGGTGTCAGCTCACTAAATTTAACAACCTCACTGGCAGCTGCAGAGCTCAAATACTTCATTACCTTGAAGAGCAGCTCTCACAAAGTCACAATTGAAGGACAACAGCAGACTGTTCAGAGGCCTGCAACAGTTGCCAATTCTGTACATGTTGCACCCATTAAAAAAATTAAATTAAGGCTGACTGATAAAATGCAAACCCAGAATAGATACACATACTTAAAAACAAATCTAGGATTAATGCAAAAAATACAAGCATGATCCATAGACACCCTACCTTCTGAAGGGTGTACAGCTTCTTAAAATGTACTAGTAGGGTTTCACAGTTATCTGAAATATTGTTAGCTTCCCAAACCAAAGAATCACCTTTTTTCCCCCCAACCTAAAGCTTCTGGAGTTTACAAACTGTGTAACTCTAGTTTGGAGTGCCAGCCAGTAGCTATGTTTTCTATACAAAGGTGGGACCAGGCACTAGCCCTTAGGAGGTTATTTAGTTACCTGAATCCAGAAAGGAAGCTGTATGTTAGAAGCGCTTCAGAGAGATTACAATTTCATTTAGAGCTCCAGCTGAAGCCTCCACTCCAGCCAGAGCAGTGTTCAATACAATTTTCTATGTCATACATAAGTAATATGGCCCTTAATGGATGGTGCAAAAATTATAGGAGCACTATGCATCTGCCTAGTAGTGCTTAAAGAATACCAGAGAACATTACAGCCTCCCACAAAACTCGGACATTTGAACTCATTTCATGTCAAAACAAAGACATAGCTAGAAAATATTTCGTATATAAATATATATATAAAACTTAGAGACTTAGCTATATGCATGAACATCTCAAATACAGAATGAAGACAAGTATAGTAACAAATTAAAATGTACTGTCAAGTGTGTTAAAGCAAGTACTTGCATTTTCAGAACTAGCGACAGTCTGATTTTCAGAGGTTACTTAAAAAAACACACCTCTAGGACATTCCCAACCATGTTCCTAAATATCTTAAGTAAAATATTTGGACAGTTCCTTGCTTAGCCAGGAAGCCATCCATCAACATCCATAACTGAAGAAAAAAGGTTAGCAAGCATACCTTAAAGAGTGAGTAGTCACAACCAGGCATTAAATTACTAGAGAGCTGGATATGGTTGTATAAACTATTGGAAGGAAAAAAGCAAGATTAAAAACTAAGCATTATTTTGAAGTACAAAATTCTTAAAGAATTTAAGACATATGACCAAACAAACCACAAAAATTAGAAAGCATTAAAATTATTTCAGAAGCAACCCTATTTCAGCAGCATAAAAGCATAAGCTTTAAGATATTCTGGGCTTAAAGCAGCAGAACAGAAACTGGTTTATAAACACTTGCTGGGTTCATACACCAATGCTTCTTTTAAACCTAGTTCTAACATTCTAACAATGTTATGAGAAATATAATTCCCTGTACATTCATGGCAACAAGTTCAGTGTGCATGTGTATTCTGCACATATACAGAATAAGGAAAATTGTTTATATTTCTAAGGCTATCTCTGCAGAGAAAGTTTTGAGAAATAGTCCATTTTGCTATTTATACAATACTCTGGGGATGAAGGCTGTAGATCTGGTAAATCAAATTTAAATAAGGACTCAAAAGATAATAGATGACTGAAACAACAAAATATATACTCTGAATTCAATTCACAGCGATGCCATTCAGAGAAAAAAAAATATATACACTGTCTCCCCCTATAGCAAGAAGACAGATGCCTTTTTCCTGCAGTTAAGTTCAGACTTCAGAAAAAGACAGAAATATGTGTATAGTGCACATATCACAACAACCTGTAGTCCAAGACCAATTAACATTCAGGCATGGCCCAGCACCAAAAGGAAAAATTACTGTGATGTTCTAACAATTAAAAGTCAGGCACAGGATTTTACAAAGCCAGGTACAGATTTACCATCCTCCCTCCTTAAAATTTACCATAATATTTTCTCCCCAGAACAACGAAGTTATTTCCCACTCCAACCACAATGCAGGCAGAACCCCTCAATTGCTTGTGACTGATTTTATACCCTTGACTACATCTACATTAAGCACTTTTAATTACCCAGAACATCTTGGTTATATAGGAGCTCAAAGACTTACACTTAACCAACTTCAAGAGTGAGCTTCAAACTATGTAGCTGCTCATCACATACCCCAAGATTGGTAACTACTGTTCACTCAATTCTCCCATAGTAGGAATGAGAAAGCTGGTTAGAAGCACAGAATCCTATACCCCTTTGAGGACACTCCACTGAAATACTTGCTCCACATTTTCTGTATATTTATTTCTTCCCTGTTGGTGCTAATGGGTCACACTGATGGGTCTCATTATTCCACTAAGAAACACCATCTCTCCCTTACTGATCACATCCTAAAGAAGACATGGAACAAAAATCTTAAGAACCCTAATACTCCACATAGCACATAACACTAAGAGAGATCAAATCTATAATGCATTTTTTCTCACCCTCAATCTCATACCACTTTATTTTCTCCATATTTTATCATTACAACAAGAAAAGTCTTCCAAGTAAGCCACCTGAATTTGATTGATGCAAGTGTCCAGAAAAGTTCTTGCTGTTTGAGCCTAAATGCTTTTGCAGACCTTCAATTTAGCAGGAAGGTAGTTTCTTCTCTAGTTAATTTATTTCAAGGACACCATTAATGTGCAATCTCTCAAAAGTACCATGCTCCAGATTCAGACACTGTTGCATATCTAAATTCTGGGACAGGTGACTCACTTCAATCCACTAGCAAAATTTAGGTCCATGGAAGCGACAGTTGGTTCCAAGAATTTACAAATGGATGTTACTAAGAAATAGCTACTGCACAAATACAATTTTCTACATGTATATCATGTGCATATGAATACAAGCAGTGCTGCGGCATTAACAGCGACACATACCAGGATTATTATGCAGATTGAAAAAATTTACTTACGCCCAAAAATCTTCAACAGTATCAAACTTGGAGATAAGACGAAGATTTGCTTGCCAAGTTTTGCTCTTGTCATTTTTAAAAAACCAGAGTGCCCATCTAAATAAAAACAAAATAAAATTGTAACATCTTGAAATTAAAGTATATTAACAATATAATTATTGGTCTTGCTATATCCAAACTAAATCAAACTGTAAGAGATTATTAGCATGGAAGTCCATTTTCAACAGTAAGATACCTGAGAAACTCAGCTTTCAAATCCAGTTCTTTGCAGATCAACAGTATTTGTGTTCCCATTACAACAAACAACTTGATCAATCCGTTTAGGTAACTACTCCAAATAGTTTTAGATAATTTTTAAGACTCTAAACTCCTAAACCTCGGATGTTTTTCCTTGCCAACAGTGATAAACTGCAGTCCCCTACCACAAATGACTAATTATGGTCCAAAACAACTCTCACTATTCAAACAGGAACACTGCTCCCTTACCAGTAATTTACTTGTAAAGGCTACAAAAGCCAATTATGTAATTCCAAAGCTATACATGACATTAAAGTTTCCCAGTCATTCACATACTAGGAGAGCATAAATCTGGAAATGGAAGTAGCTTTAAGCTTACTAATGTCAATCTTTAAAAAACCACCAACAGCTTCAAATTTTTAAATCTGTACACATTAAGACAAAATTAAATGAAATTTTCTATCCAATTTACTTCATCATTGTCTGCCAAGTACAAATCTCAACACATACAAATCAAACCTTTACAAACAAAGATGGGTCTTTCTGGAAGTATTGTTCAAAATGCTGGAACAGGATATCTCATAAGGCATTTAACACAACAGGATTTTTCATTTTGATACTTTTAATAGCTTTCAAATCACTCAGGTTAGCACTAGATTAGATTTATCTTCTTAAAATGGAGTACTTTAAGTCACCAGGTGTCAGTCTAATGTTTTGAGAGCTTTTCTGACATTTCAAACCCTGTTTTAAAAGTTTACTGTTTTCCTGTTTTCCAGTAATAGCCCCACTACCATTTGTAGAGTAGAGTCAGCAACAATTTAATCAGAAGTGTTTAGAGGAGTAAGAGGAAAGATGAAGTTTAAAGACAACAAGGGAAAACAGGACACACATAGCACTACAGTGCAGAGTACTTTTCCGTGTTTATCCAAAACTTATAAAAAGAGCAAGGTGCCACTTGGTAAAAGGTTCGCTTTGGGGCATCACCTACCTACCAACATTAACAACTGTACCAGCTGTTCCGTTTACGTGGAGAAAAGGAACTCCTAGATGATCTTTTTGAACTGTATGTATCCTGCTAGAGTAACTTTTGTGCACATTTAAAGGAATTCAACCTGAAAGGTAGTTCAAGTCAAGGTTCTCAAGTACAAAGAATCTTGGTAAAGTCCCCATTGCCTCCATAGCTCAGTAAAAAGCTGACTAGTAGTTTATAAAGCATACCTGTTCTTTGTACGCTAAACACAACTAAGAGGGTTTAGTTTTTCTGATAACTATGCTTTTACCTACTGCTCCATGTATTTGTTAAACAAGAAAATTTAAGTGCCCTACATTTTATTTTAGTGACACATTAGTACAAATCCATGTGCATCTGCACTTCAGCATTTCTTCTGCTGTGTTTCTTACAGATAATGAAAAAAGTATTATTGTAGACATCAACCACCCACATGATCAAGTCAAATAATTTTTGACTGATTAACACTGCTTCTACCACTTCCAGTTTGAAATAGGAGAAAAAAAAAAATTCAAGATATGAAAGAGTAAGACTGATAAGAAATAAGAATGAGAAGTCCTTACCACTGACATCCAAAATCGCCTTAAGTACTACAAGGCAGAATGGAAGGTTTTCCAGCACCTTCATCTCTGTATTAGAGAAAAACAACAGAAGCTGTGCTTGCCACCAACTAAAAGGGAAGCCAAGCTCTGTCAAATTACATGGTTCCATTATGAAAATTTATAAAGATATTCAGCTTCTGTAACAACACTCCATTAATAAGCTCTATAATAAAACAGGATCAGATTTTCTTTCCTCTGCAACCTCACTACAAAAACCCTCAAAAAAAAATCAAGAGCTCTCAAAATGCTACTAAAAAGCATAAGGAAAGCAAGAGGGGTTGTAAGGTGACAGGCATTTTTTTATCTCTGGCAAAATTACAATTACACTTCTGTACTATTTACCTGTTTTGTAGTGGATGCTTAATATACTGTTCAGGGCTAGCAACCTCCTGAGTAGGTGCTGGCTCAGTTTTCTCCTCTTCTGAAGGCTGAGGGTTGGGAGTGGTTTCCTGATTGAAGAAAGGAGTTATTAATACATAGTTTCTCAATTTTTATTGAAGAAAATTAGTTCTTTGAAGTCACTTTAAGGAAGTTGAAGCTAGGAGTTCCTCTAATTCATCTTGAATTTGGGGCCCAAATCATGTCATAGAGGCACAATTTGCATCCCTTTATTCTTCAACATCTGACCAAGCCCTACAATAAATAGTAAATGCAGAAATTCACGTTCTGCTGTTCAGTGATTTGCTGCCTTTGTATTTGTTTCCAGAATGGTTTACTTAACTAACTTGTATAATTTTGAAACAAGAGTTGTATCAGAAATACAATATGCTATGTTATATGCACATCTAAAAATTAATTTCCAGAAGGAAAACTTTTATTAGTTTCTAACAAAGCATCATTTGAAACATATGTACAGGCCCTGTTTATTTAGAAAAACCTGACATTACAAGTAGGCATCACATGCTTCCAAGTCTGAAATCAGCTGTTACAAGCAGTTAGAAGCCAACTGTACCTAGTTCTATTTGTATTTGCAAAATGACTACTAACAAATATTCAGGCACCCAACAGGAGAATTCAAACACATATTAGTTCTCAAATTTCAAAATTAAATAAGTCTTATCTGTGGTAACATGTAATCAGATTGATTCCAAGTATTATTTTTTCAAATCTCTAGACAGTACTACAGATGTAAAATATACTTTAACATAAAGAAGTGAAATCACATTCATTTTGTATGCAAACCCCCTCAAGCTTGTATTTCAGTTGGAGAAGCTACTGTGTCAGGTTTGAAATTCTAATGCCATTCTTTCAAATCAGAGAACACAAAGCCTTATTGTAAGGCCAAGCTTTCCTGCTGTTACCACCATCTCTCCCTAATCTGCAATCTATGCTAGAATGTTAGAGGCAAGGAATGAGGACTAAATCTCATTCCCTACAGCTAACACAAGTGCCTGTACAGTTGATCCTGTGAAAGAAAAATAACTTTAATATAAACAAATACTAACTACAGCAGACCCAAAGACTCTACACATTCCTAAATGCAGCAATATAAACGCAGTACTTAAAAAACAATTTAAGCATTGTAGTTTTAAGAGAAAAAAGGAATATAAGGCTGAATAAAGTAAGAAGTCATCTAATTAACAGTACAGTTTACTCCAGACTTCCACAACTACTCAGTTTATCAAAGCTGCTGAAAAGTGGAATGAATCTGAAGTGAAAACATTGTTCAACCTTCACCATCCCAGCTGGCAAACTCTTCTGATAAAACCTAACAATCTGTCATAATCTGGATTTTCTTCTTGTTATCTATATATTTAGCATTATTAAGTATGATGTTATATTTTACTTCAGAGAAGTTATACCTTTATGCTTGAAAATAATTAAGTATGCTTTGGTTTAACAGCTCATTAAGAAAAAAACTGTTCAAAAGCTAATTTGCATTGTGTGTAAGAATGCTTTAATGTGTTCCCACCTTCACAGCAAAGACTGAAATGTGAAGGCCTAACAAGGGCAGCAATAATTAGGATAGTGCTTTGATTTACACAGTACGAGGGGCAAGTAGTACAACTTCCTTCCTCTTGTAAAGGAGATCACCAACAATCTCACAGAAGCAGTGCTGAACAATCTGTCAAATCTCCTTCAGTGTACATCACGAGCCAATGCCAGGGGGGCTATCAGCTCACGACATTGTGGTGTCCAAAGCGGGATACAGGCTCATGACAGTGTAATACCATAAAAAAGCTAAATAAATCTTCAATTAGGATCTTCAAATTATATCTAGAATACCTAGTGTTACTGCCATTTATTTTAAGTTGATAGGAAACAAATATACCTATTTTCCTTTAATCACATGCAAAAACCCCACAGAACAAATCAAGATTGTCAATGCACAAAGGCTGTAAAACACGTCAAAGTATTATTTAAATCAGTATTTCCTCCTCCAAGTAATCATCTCTACTATGCTACAAACTGTCAAGTGCAGACAACCACAATTTGTGTTGCCCCTTCAGGGGCTTCTAACTAGAGGAGTTAGAAATACTGCATGCGCATGTACAATGAGCATACAAGCAAAAACTTGTTGATATTTTGGAAGTAAACTAAGCATTGGGTTTTGTGATAATGCTTACTTTCACTCACAATACTCTGCAGTTGTGACATTTAGTATTTACAGTTGATCTACAAATGCCATTACACTAAAGACTTACACCAAATAGACTCAGCCTAAATTCAGAGTAACTTTCAAAATAATTTCAGTTGAGAATCATATTGATGTTTGCTCAGGAAATGGCTTTCAGTATGCAAAGAGCTAATCCTAAAGACTCTCTGGTCAGTCTTCCAGAATTATAACCACCACAAAGTGGAAGAATCAATGCAAAACTACAAAGCACATGCAGGGCTATGCCATTTCAGAACTTACAAGACAACATCCAAAATGATTAAGGTAGCACCTCCAGATAAAAAAAAAAATGCAATGAGCCTCAGTAACTGCCCGGTCAGTGGTCACCCTTCACACAATTATGCGGAAGTCCATTTCTGGACCAATGGAAGACAAGTAAAACTTTTGTGCTGAGTCAGATAAGTCATCCCTAGAAAAAATCCCTTAAGATATTCTGAAAGCTACCTAGAATTAATGAAACTCAGACTAACCATTATTTCAAGCTGCTGTCCAAAACAGCACAAGACAACTCACCTCCAAGGCCTGGCTATGATTTTCACCCAGGATTGCATCACTCACCTCAAAAACTAACCCAACCAGAAATACTTTTTTTTCAGCACCAGACTGCTCATCAAGGACAGGTGCAGCTGTATGCACCAAAATTAGCCTGGGAAAAGGTGTCAAGCTGGAAGCAGAACTTTCCACCACAGAGTAGTTTTCTGGCTAGTCTCTGACAGGAGCCTAAAGCAGCTTGTTTTCATTACCTTTTACTGTCTACTGCCATCAAGGAAAACAGAAGACAGACCATTTTCATTTTTGGCTGGTTAATCCTATCAGATCCCATTTTCTTTCATTATACTTTTATCTCACTATTCTGGGCACCAAGCTACAGTATTTGTATAGTAAAGCACTTTTCATTATTAGCCAAATAAAAAGTATGCAAGTTCACCAATCAGCATTCCAAAACCATTTCTTGTATCCAACTTCCTTCTAGCTACTGAAATTCTACCCCAAACCACAAGCATGCATTTTTAAAAAAAGATTCTATAAATACAATATGAAATAAAGTAATTTTGTACACGTTTTACTAATTCACACCTTGAAATCTTTAAATTGCTGTACTATTAATGTAGTAAAATAAGACTGTCTCCACAAGCAGGTTCTGGACTACTATTTAAAATCCTTCGTAATCCTTTGCTATTGCTCATTAACTAATGCATTCTTTAACCTAAAATTGCCTTTGTGTCTACTATTAAGCTAAGCCACCACTGGGTTTGCTACTTTTAAAATAAATGTAATAGGGTAGCATTACTAGATAAACTGGAAAGCTTCATATGGCCAATCCTACTCCTCATACATGAGACAGCACATAATTAAAAGTGACATTTATACACTACCCACATTTTTTTTTTATGTAGGAATCAGCTTGCAGAAGTCCATGCAACATTTGTCTGCTCAGCATTTAACAACTATGCATATCTGCACATTAGCTGCAGATTTAATTGATGTTACTTATTCTTTCTCCACAGCACATAATGACCAATGTATCAAAGGAAGGTGAGCAAGTCATCAGAACAGGAAATAAACAGCACAGTAAAAAACTGCTTAATCAGGTTTGTCAATTGAAGAGAACAACTAGCTTGACTAGGTTTCACTGATATTTTTAAAGTGCTGCCCAGACCACATTCATGTAATCTAATCTTCTACAGAACTTGTTTAGGAAGTCCAGTTGACAGGGTGCTGCATTTATGTCCCAAAAAGACGTAACCTATTACTAGTAGTATGCATTCCTGGGGAAGTTAAGAGAATAAATAGTGTAAGAGGCTTCCAAAGTTTTCTTGCATTAAACCAAAATAATTTACAACTGAGAGTTTTCACCTTCTCGCTTAGTGTTTCCAACAGATGAAAAAGCTTCACATCCCAGTTATCAGATGCCTAGGGGGAAAAGCATGTCAACCATCTGCTGGTCCTTATGCTTCTTGCAGGTAACAAATTCAAGAGCTATTTATTTCAAAATATTCTCAACAAAAAAGGGATTTAAGCCCACTGACAAGCAAGTATTACATGCTGCAAGAAAAAAAACCAAATTATGACCTAATAGGCAATTCTGAGAAATTACAGAGGTAGAAACTGTATGAAGCACATGTAATACCAACTGGGAAAGAGGTACTAATAGGCACCTGTTACCAATTAAACAGCATTAAAACTGCTTTCCAGACACCAGAACAGAAAAATTTTCAAAGCATGACATAGCAAAGTCTAATAAAGAGCAACTAACTGCATACACTCTTACTTAGACCACCACAGTGTTTTAGAAAGGCATTCACTATTATAACAGAAACATGGGACATGGTTTTAACTGAGTGACATCCCACCAAATTAGAACAGAAGGACAACACATGTACAGGAGAACAGGAAAAAAATAGTGAAGTTGAAGAGTCACATGCTTCCTTCAGGGTCAGAGGGGCACACTGGTTTAAGAAATATAATCTCAGGTTCTAAAAGATGCAAAGAATATTTACAACCCTTTTGACTTTTGAAAAATGGGCTACATATACTCGAAATTACCCATTGGATTTTTCAAACCTACCTCACAAACTTACAAATAAAATGAGCAAACAAACTACAAGGTATATAAAAATACTCCAGTATGTGTTTTTTTCTAGCTGCCCTTGTGCTATTACTTCTCACCCCAGTTTGAGGTCTACTACTGTCTCTGCTACAGAAACAGGAAAATTACACATGGGATAAGATTACTTTCCACATCTAACTCAATTAGTTCTAAGGTAGACAACAGAAACTTCCCAAAACTGAGAACAGTTCAGATAATTCAAGGAAGAAAACCTATCTGTAACACCTCTAGCCCCCCCAAC